TATCTATCTATCTATCTATCTATCTATCTATCTATCTATCTATCTATCTATCTATATATATATGTATATCTATCTATACATTCATGGTTCCAGGTATTTCTGCCCGGGTCAGGCGTGGGTGCATGGGTCGGGAGCACAAGTCCTGGCTACGGTCGTCAAACAACGACAACTGTTCTCATTACAAACTTCATTCTTGACCTTCTTCTCGGAGTCGAACCCTGGCTAAACGAGACAACGGTATGTTCCTACCCGCACGGAGTCAAATTCCCTCGTCCCCCTCAACCAATAGATCCCCCCGATATTTTGGATCCGATATCAACTCCGTCCTCTCCACCGAGTGTTGATCAAATTATTATAGGTAAGAGGGGCTCAAGGAGGTCCTCCTTTGCAGAGGGTGACGTCAGAAAACACGGAGAAGAGAGGGATGCAGAAAGTGAAAGATTCTACAATTCGTCTTTAGAATCTACAACTTTAAATGATGAGGAAGATGAAAGGTCTTTCGACTCCATAACATTTGCAGCTACAGATGAAGAAGGGGGTGAAAGGTCTCATAATTCCACAACATTTACAACAGCAGACAACGAGGAAGATGATGGAGACAAACCTAGGTCTCCTTCAGTCTCTGCACGATTCCTTACAAGTAAAGTCACAGAACACTTCATGAACGCTAGTCAGACTCTACTAAAGGACTACGTAGGATCATACAAACACCCAGGGTTCGGAACATGGAGCGTTGAACTTAACGGTACAGTTCTCCACTACAAGTTTGGTCTTTTGCTGAGCGGCCAATTGACCAAGACGTCAACTCGCGACTGCTTCCACCAGAGTGTGTCTCCCCCTCAAGCCTATCGGATGGAGCCGCATGGCTCCTCACAGTCGGTCATTTTCCACAGAGGCAATGACGGTACTGTATCCAGTATTGAAGTGCCTTATTTAGAGTACAGAAGCCCGCCCGTCTTTGTGAAAGCGTAGTAAATACAATGTACTATTCTGTTGATGCATTATAGTTATTATATGTTGTTTTTATCTGTTTCGTTTTTAAAATCGAAGTGGCTATTCGGACTTAAGTCCGAACAGTCGCTGGAGGCTATTTGGACTCAAATTCTAGTGAGCGTGTGCAATCACTGGTTGTACCGTAAGCGAGATCTATACTCGAGTCCGAATAGTCTCCCGTTGCTATTCAGACTTTAAACTACAGGTTGGCTCTTACACTGCGTTTCACGACTACAAAGGGATCAAAACAAAAAATTCATAATCAGTCCTTATAAGACAGCC